CCCCGCCTCGACCGCCACGGTCACCGAAGCCGCCTCGGCCACCAAAGCCGCCCCCACGGGGGCTGAAACCTGCGGTGGAGACAGAAGCGGGAATCAGGGCAACGAAGCTGGAAAGGGGACTCCTACGCCTCACAGTTCTGCTCAGGAGAGAAAACGGAGAAACGTGCACCGGGAGGCGCGTCCACGAATGTCCACAGCAGCAGCAAACTTCGGGCTAACACAAATGTCCACCGGCACCAGAGGCCCAAAATGGGGAATATTCATGATCAAAGTGAACAGGACACATGGTTACCCGCCAAAGATAGAGAAATCTCAGAATCAAAATGTTAAAGTGACAAAGCAAGCCCAAGGAAACGACATCCAACAGGATATCCTTTTTATAAAGTTCAGCAACTGAAATGAAACAGTGCTATGCTCTGGTGATATATGTGTAACCTATGTCCTGCCCCCACCCCAAGAGAGCCAAGAGGATGATAAATGCAAAACCCATGATACTGGGTAATGGGAGGGAGAAATTATGGAGTTAGGACAGGAGAGGGGTACATAGGTAGATGTAGGTTACTGTCAATATTCTGTTCTTCTTGGCTGGATGGTAGATTCACAGGAGTCATTCTATTTTCAATAGTAATTAGTCTGTAGAACACTGTGTGTGCCCTGGGCAGTAGGTCCCCCAGACCCTGAAAACATCTTCCTATCTTTCTATGCCTGACCTTGTGTCTGGAACAAAAGCGCCAACACCCAAACAGAGGGGAGCTCCCCGTGATGTCTCTTCTACTAACCAATCTCCTGCTTCAAGGTTGCAGAAGTCTGCCAGCTCAGAGAAAAAAAGAAGAAACCCCAACAAATTGTGCTTTATGAATGAACAATAGTTCATAAGCAGTTCAGGGCTTGTCAACAAGACTGAAAATTTAAGAAGAAAAAGATTCAGAGACTTCATTTTCATCACCAGGATTGTGCCAAGGTTCTTCACTTCACCGAGCACAAAACAATGACTGAAACAGACAGACTGCTGCTGCTGCTGCTGCTAATAGACTCAATATCGGACTTTGGACAGTTGTAAAAGCTCTTCAGTAACAGAAAAATCACGAATTATGACATGCATCTTAATGGCATTAAAGATGAACATGCACTACTTTTCAATAGCTATTCCTAATTGATCGTTAACAATTAACAGTTTTAAAACTCCTACACATAACCAACAGTTGTTTCCCTTTTCTCTTACCCTCCCTCTACAGATTGCTGTACATATGGCAGCTAGTGATGCCCTTTTTAAAAGGGCATCTGATCTCATCAGTCCCCTTCCCAAATCTCTTCAGTGATTTTCCGTCACAATCAGATGAAATAAAAATTCCTCTCTGGCTCCCAAAGCCCTAAGGCAGTGGGTCTCACCTTTGGCTAGTCCCTGAAACCTAGACATTCTGATGTAATTGTCTGGGATGGGAACCTGGATGTGGAAGCTTTTTAAAGTTGCACAGGTTATCCTAATGTGCAGCCCAGACTGAGACCCACCATCATAGGGCCCTGCCTTCTGCTGACTTTTCTTTATGCTGGTCACCACACCCTTCCTCCCTAACAACAAACTCACCTTTAACACCTGCTGTTCCCACTGCCTGGGTCCTGTGCCATTTGCTTGGCTTACCCACTCCTTCGATGCACTCAGGTCTCTGATTAAATTTTCCTTCTCTGGCTACCTGACATTTAACCCACTTTCTTTTTCTTCCTATCAATTACCACTCATGGCATTTTTATTATTCATTGATTGATTTTAGAGAGAGGAAGGGAGAGAGAAACATCGATTTGCTGTTCCACTTATTTATGCATTCATTGGTTAATTTTTGTATGCGCCCTGACCGGGGACTGAACCCGCAACCTTGGTGTATCAGGATGGTGCTCTAACCAACTGAGCTATCCAGCCAAAGGGCCTCATCCATGGCATTTTTAACATTATCACTGCCTGCCTCCCCCATTAGACTCAAGCTCCAACAGAACAGGGATGTTTAATTGTTTTGATCACCACTGCATCCCCAGCACCCTGCATAACATGTGGCACAAAGTATGGGTTCAAGAAATATTAAGTACACCAGCTGTTGAGGACTCTTAAACGTCTGGGTTCTGCCCCATGAAAAAAGCAGCCACTCTGTTCATTTAAGAAGCAGGTGATCAGATGGTGGCCAGAGCCCTGGTTCCTTCCCTCAAGCAGTTCATGTATCCCACACAGGGAGATGGCTACACCCTTTGCAACCCTAGAGAGTAGGGAAAGGTTCTTGGAAGTCTTGAAAACATCTCTAAGACAGAGATACGGAGATAACTCAGTGCCCACCTCATAGACTTGAAAGATTAAATGACTTAATGAACAGTATTCAAACTTGAGGCAATGAGTGCTCCCTCCTACTTAGGGGAGAAAGCACTAGGCCCAAGAGACTCTGAACCCAGGCCCAACAGCACAGAGCCCTGGAAAGGAGGGGCATGACACAGGGTAGAGCGGGTTCAAGAGTAAACTTTCAGTGCCAGATATTCAGAAGCTATCTTGATCCATTTCAAGTCCTGAGGCTCTTTCACCCTCTCCTTACAACAACACTTGTCTGCACAGGATTCTAGAAATTTTGGGTGGGGGAATCCACAGGTGCCCCTGCCACCCCAGGGTTTAAAACTGCTCTCTTCCCACAGCTTTCCCCATCTCAAAAATGGCAACTCTATCCTTCCAGTCACACAAGCCAAAACCCCCAGTTATCCTTGACTCCTCTCTCTCTCACCCACAGACAAGCTGTTGGCTCTGTCTTCAAATCTATTCCCAAGTCGTAACAATTCGTCACCCAGGTTGCCTGCCACTGTCCTGGTCCAAGACACATCATCTAGCAGATTACAGTAACCAGCTTCCTACTGATGTGCCTGCTTCCACTCTTGCTCCCCTGAAGTCTTTTACATACAGGAGGGTCCTTTAAAAAAACAAGCGTCAATCAAGTCTGATTGCCATCAAGTCCCTGCTCAAAATCTCCCAAAGGCTTCCTCTCCACTCAGACTAAAATCCCTACTGAAGAGCTGACTCCTGGCAAGTTCTACAATTTCATATCCTAACACAATGAGGGGAAGGGTTGGGAGGAATGTGTATTCTCCATTCCTGGGAGAACCAGACCACAGGATGCCTGCAGGTATGCCAGGGTCTCAGGGCAAGATACACACCCTAGCATCTCGCACCCTACTCCATCGGCAGATCCCCAAACACGGAATAGAAAGAGAACTTGAGAGGGGGCATGGATTCATAAATCCCCCTCACCAGATGACCCCATCTCTCCACAGGCTGAGAGGAAAAAAACAAACAAAAAACCCTGTAGTGGAAAACAAACGCTTTTGGTCCCAGTGGGAGATTTCCCCAACTCCACAGAGCAAGTTGGAGGGATGGGCACAGCCTGACTGAGGAAGAGGTGAGACACCAGGGATAAGGATCCTAATTTTGTTCCCCTTGAGAAAAAATATAAAGATAACAACTGGAACCAACACTATTATATCTCAAGCACTGTGCTATTTTTATCAGCTTTACTGAAATATAACTGACACATAACATTGTGTAAGTTTAAAGTGTACAACCTATTGCTCAGTGGTTGAGCATCGACCTGTGATCCAGGAGACCTGGGTTGATTCCTGGTCAGGGCACATGCCAGGTTTGTGGGCTTGATCCCCGGTGAGGGGCATGCAGGAGGCAGTCGATCAATGACTCTCATCACTGCTGTTTCTAGCTCTCTCTCCCTCTCTCTCAAATCAATAAAGACATAAAATTTTTAAAGTGCACAACATGTTAATTTGGTACACTTACATACTGCAAAATGATTACCACCCAGTGCTATTTTTTAACATGATCTTACTAAACTGTAACTGGGTGCCATTTTATTGATGAGAAAACTGAGGCTCAGAAAGGTAAAGCCACTTGCCCAAGGTCACACAGCAAGTTAAGAAGCAAAGCCATGACGGAAACTTTGAACTGAGTCCCCTCTGCTGTCAAAGTCAGGGCTCTCAGCATTCCACCTTGAGAGAGGTGGGGTGGGTTCATCAGAATCTGGAAGAAAATGTAGTAAAAGCACTCATGCCCTGTGACTACCTCCCTCCCCCGCCCCGCTAATCCTATCCTGGGCTAGTGAAGTTTCATCCCACCACGGACTTGAGAATCACTAGGCCCACGATCTCCACTCTATCCTCAGGGACCCACCCCCTTGGGAAAGTAGAGAGCGGGAAAGTGGGCCAGAGGGCCACATACAATCAAGCCGGGAGTCCTCATCGTCTCCGGCCCTCTCCAAGAAGATAGTGGGTTGGGGGCCAAGGGGACCGGGGTAGCGGCGGCAACCGGGGAAGCAAACGGGGGGCCTCCTAGACTCAGCTCCCGGTGACGCTACACCTCCGAACCAAGACAGATTCCCAAAACCCATGCCCAGGGAGCCACGACCCCAGACGCCTGGACCCAAACTCTGGGACAGTAACAACCGATTGCCGCCCCGGTCCAATATCCACGAACCTAATCAAGACCTCAATGAGACGAACATCAGTTCAGAACCCCACTCCCAGGCCAAAGACTCGAGACACACGTCGTGACCTCCGAAGCCAATCACAAACCTCCAGGCCCGAACCCTAGGCTCAGGATCGACCATAGGGCGGAACCAAGAACCTCTCCCACGCGACACCGAACCAGGACTCCCTCCCCACACCGGACCCGGGTCTCAGAACCCCTGCTCCCAAGCCAAGGCCCCGCACCCCAATTCCCGCCGGGCTCCAGCCCCTGACCTCCGACCCCAACCCCGCCGTGCACCTGGCCTCATGGCGAGAGCGGAGCTGCGCGGCTCAGGATTCTGCGGCGTCCGGGACCCCACGAGTCCCGGGCTTTCGCACGTGGAAAGGAGCGCACGCGCGCGGTGACGTACAACGCGTAGCGCAACCACGTAGCCCCGCCCCCTTGGGCCCCCAGCCCCGCCCGGATTCTGTGCTCCGTGGGCGGGGATTCCCGAGCGCGGGTCAACCCGACTCGCTAGGCGCCACCTTTGTGCAGCGACGCTATACTCCCTGCTTCCCCCCTCACTGGTAATCAGGGCTCGGCTCTAAGCCTTCGCATGCGCTGTGTCCTCCGCCCCTCTTCTCTCGTCCTAGTTAACTCCATAAGGTCCCCTCTACACCCAAAAGCTTTCCATGACCCATTTCCACCCCCAAGAACGTGGACTGACTCTGGACTCATTCATACATTAGAAAAGCATTTACTTTGCACCCGTCAGTACCAGACACTGTTCCAGGTGCTGGGAATACAGCGGTAAACAAGACACACAAATTCCCACCCTCCTGGAACTCATTTTCTTTCTTTTATACATGTATATTTCTATTATTGATTTTAGAGAGAGGGGAAGGGAGAGGAAGGAGAGAAACATCCAAGCGAGAAACAACCATCGGCTGCCTCCTGCACGCCCCCTACTGGGGATGGAGCCGAAACCCAGGCATGTGCCCTGACCCGAATGAACTGGGACCTTTTGGTTCAGGGGATGCTCAAGCAACTGAGCCATACGGGCCAGGGCTGGGACTCACTTTCTCATGGGGAAACAGACACCAAACAAGTTAGTAAAGCACCCTGACTGTTAGAGGGCAATACTTACTTTGGAGAAAATAACAGCAGGGAAGGGGGATAGGGACCGTTGGGGGAGAGTGAAATTTCTCTTTGGGTGTCCAAGGAGCAAAGAGCTAAAGGAGGTGAGGAGTGAGGCCAGCTCTTGCCTGGGAGAAGAGAGTTCGGGGCACAGAGGATTGCAGGTGCCTAGGCCCTGAGGCAGGGAAGGTAAGGAGAGTTGGGAGAAACTGAGGAGTGCGGTTTGGGAAAAGTGAGCGGGGAAGAGTGGGAGGAGGCGAAGGTAGAGAGGTAACAAACTGTGCGGGGCCTCATGGGCCATGGTGAGAACTTCGGCTCTTACTCTGGTTGAGATGGACCTATGGGAGGGTCCTGCCCTCCTGGAGCTGCCAGACCCATCCCCAGACAGCGTCAGCCCAGACCAGAGTGGTAAGGGCTGGAATGGGGAAGGTACAAGGAGAATGGTTAAGGCTGAGATGGGGAAGCATTGAGGGCTTTCCTCAATATCTCTCCATATCCTTAACTCCTTCGGAACCTTCCTTTTATCTTCCTGCTGTAACCACAACCTAGCTCTCTCCTAAAGACATGCCTTTCATGCAGCCCTTCCAAGTAGGGGCTGTTTTCCCCCTCCTCAGCCCTCATGCCCAATGGGCCTTAGGTGAGAAAAGATCCTTCTTGCTCCTCATTGCCACTTTTTATTTTATTTTAATTTTTTAAATATGTTTTAATTGATTTGAGAGAGAGAGGAAGGGAGAGGGAGGGAGAGAAACATCAATGAAAGAGAAACATTGATCGGCTGCCTCTTGCTTGCCCCATACTGAGGATCAAACCTGCAACCTGGGCATGTACCCTGACTGGGAATCGAACTAATGACCTCTTGGTGCGTGGGACAATGCTCAACCAACTGAGCCACACCGGCCAGGGCTTCATGCCACTTCTAAATCATTCTCTCTGTCTCCTCTCTAAGCCCCTAACTTTGAAGTTTCTACTATAGCACCTTCTCCCATTCTTGTTGCCAGTTCTATCAACTCCCAAGTCACTCATGTCATTATTTTAGCTCCAGGCTCACTGCCACTCAAGCTGCTCCTATTATAATTCTTGGTGATTTCTAAATTCAGGCAGATGATCCTTTGACCATTCTGAACTTTTGGTGTCTTGCCTTCCTCTCCTCTAGAGAACTTGTCATTTTCGTATTAATTTGCATATTGTAGATATTAATCCTTTATTAGGTATGTTGCAGATTTTTCCTCCAAGTGATGAGTGGAGGAAACAGAATATTGCTAAGGGAAAGTGGATAATTATTGAATTGAGAAAATTAGGCGTGTTCCATACATTAAAAGGTCAGGTTCCCAAATCATAATTGCACCCGTCAAGGGGGACAGTGATAGGAGATGAGTCAGAAGAGATTGGCAGGGGTCTTTCAGGACAAGGTAAAGAAATTTGATTTTATTGTAAGAGAAATTTATGGTAAATGGTCCTATTTATATGTTAAGAAGAGTCCTCCAGTGGCTGTGAGAATGGAGTACAGGAAGGGAAGAGCAGATAGTAGGCTATCGGTGCTGACCAGGTGAGTCAGGATGATGGCTGCACCAGGTGGTGACAGTGGGCATAAGAAAGACAGGCAAATTTCAGGTGTTTTGATATAATCCAACAGGATTTGTTGAACTGAGTAGAGGGCAAAGGGAAGGGAGAATTCAAGAATAAGTTCCCCAGCTAACTGGTGTTGCTCAGTGGTTGAGCATCAACCCATGAACCTGGGAGTCACCGTTCAATTCCTGGTCAGGGCACATGCCCCGGTTNGACTGGTGTTGCTCAGTGATTGAGCATCAACCCATGAACCTGGGAGTCACCGTTCAATTCCCGGTCAGGGCACATGCCCCGGTTTCGGGCTTGATCCCCAGTGGGGGGCGTGCAGGAGGCAGCCGATCAATGACTCTCATCATTGATGTTTCTCTCTCTCCCTCTCCCTTCCTCTCTCTGAAATGAATTTGAAAAAATTTTTAAAAAGAGTACGTTCACATTTTCTGGCTGCCAGATTGAGCAGTGCTATTCACTGAGGCTTGTTTTTTACAGTGGCATGGATTAGCATTTCTGAAATTCTGTATATTGGATGATGGAGTAAAGATGAAATATGTTGAGGATGTTGAGAGCCAGGTTTTTCACTGTTGTAGGAGACACAAATATGAAGTGGGGAATGCCAATACTCTGTGGTGTTGGACTGGAACTGGAGGTACCATCAGGAACTCCTGGACTTGTATTTATGTTTGTATTTCCTACTTCTGTCCACTGAGAGGACCCAGAAACAATATACTCTGGCAACAGTTCAGAATTCTTATGTTGGAACTTAATGTCCAATGAGATGGTATTTGGAAATGGGCCTTTGGGAAGTGATTAGGTCATTAGGGTGACACCTTTTTGAATGAGATTAGTGCCTTTACAAGTGGCCCCAAAGAATTTCCTTGTCCTTCTGCCATGCAAGGACACACAAGAAGACAGCCATCTATGAACCAGGAAGCAGGCTCTCACCAGACACCGAATCTGCTGGTGCCTTGATCTTGGACTTCCCAGCCTCTAGAGCTTTGAAATAAACTTCTGTTGTTTATAAGCCCCCCCATTACATGGTATTTTGTTATAGCAGCCTGAATGGACTAAGACACATGAGGAAACTGAGTGACAGAGAAATTAACTTGCTAGGGTTAGAAATGATAAAGCTAGATCCATTGGCCTTTCTTTCCATTTCTGCTCCTGCCCTCCATCCAATCATTTGTCTTTTTATCCACCCATTCTTCTAATCATACAGTTCCCCATCTCCCCATTCCCCACTCATTCCTCTCCCAATCCACCCCCCTCGATGTCACCACCCATCCATCCATCCTCTCACCCCCCAAGAAATATTCATCATGTGCAGATCCCCCAGGCATCTGACCCCTACTGTGCACGCAGGGAAGTCAGGAATAAGACACATGGGCATGCAGCTTAGCTTAAGTATTTATTCAGTGCTCTCACAGTCTCAGTGGCTCAGCAGAGGGGGAGAGCAGGGAAGGGATACACAGTGACACAGTGACGCAGTGCATCCTTCAATTATTGCAGCCTCCAGGGGGATCAGGTCCTGAAGTCCTCATTTCCGGAGCATCAGTTATGACTGCAAGAGATCGACAGTCAGCACTTCCTCTTACAGACTGAGCACCCACCCCAACTACTTCCTTCCCATGAGGACCCAGGTGCCCTGGCCTCCATGCTACATCCTCACCATGGGGAGAAGTCCTCTGCTCGCCAGTGCTCTATTGTTGTATTTCTCTGGGAGTCATGCCCATCATTGGTCTGGTCCCCATCAAAGTTTCCACAGGCGCCACAAAGGACCCCAGCATGGTCACTGTTGACCATCACAGTCAGCTGCCCATTGGTGCCCAGCTGTACATGGACCCCTGCCTTCTGGTGGACTAGCATGGAGCCATCAGGATTCCGACTCACAAACACAGATGTTAACACTTCAGCTGGGAATTCTCCTCGGACTTGGAGACCGTTCACCTGGTTTTGGGGGAAAGTACACAGAAGTGAGGCTAGAGCCACAGAAGAGCTGGGATGTTACCAGGATGGAGACCCCAAGCAAGATAACAAATTCAAGGAGCAAAAGCAGAGGGGCAGTTGCTGAAATGGATGAAGACCTGGGAGGATGGAGAGATGGGATGGAGAGTGGATGAATGGAGAGATGGGTCAATGGATAAACAGGCACACACACAACATGTGGGGGAGAAGTGTGTGGAGCATGGGCTGTATCTCCCCACTGGACCTGGAAGATTCCAGTGGATGTCTCTGCAATCAATAAACAGGTCGTGGAAATAGAGACGTGCTCATCTTGGAACTTTAGTGCAGCCTGACATCTGTGTTTGGGTCTTGGGCTCCATCGCATGAGCCGTGAGTGATGAGACTATGAGTCAGCATCAGCCTTGTTAGGCCAAACAGATTCTCTCTCCCAGAAATTTGGAATTGGGGTGATGAGAACCATGCTCTTTGGCAAATAAAAGGCAGTTATAAGTGACAGGAAGTCAAGGGGCAGAATGGAGGGGGCACTGGGGCTGGAACGGACTCTTGATGCAAACAACAATAGGCCTGAGGGGTCCCTAAGAGAAAGCAGGAGAGTTGAGGGAAGGATCAAGTGGCCTGTAATTGACAGTGTCCAGGGGAAGTTCCCACTGAGCACTGTAGTTGGAATCCATCTTGGTCCCTTGTACCCACACACTTACCACCAGCGCCCTGTTCCCATCAAAGTGGCTAAGAGCATGGGTGCTGGCGGGCTCAGGCCTGGGTCTCCCAGGCGTTCTCTGAGTGACTTGAGGAAATGACTTCACCTTCCTGGGCCCTAGTTCCCCCTCTGTGTAAAATGAGGACGATAACAGCTGCTGTGTTGCAGGAATGCTGTAAGGAGTCACAGAGTGAAGATGGTTCGGCGAACAGCAAGTGTAAAAGAGGAAGGTACAGATCCCGATCCAGTGGCGCCTCGGGTTTCCAGTGTCTCCGCTGGCGAACATTTCGGTTCACGAACACAACCCAGAAGTGTGTGCTTCGGGTTTCGAACAGGCCTCAGAAGTCGAACACGCCATGCAGCTTCCTCTGAGGGCAAGATCCTGAGGCCTAGCTGTTGGCTGCTGATCCCTCAGTTTTTGAACGTTTCAGAACCCAACCGGTCTTTCTGAGTGGATCATGTTTGAAAACCAAGGTTCCCCTGTAATACTGCCAGGGAACCCGGATCTAGCCACTCCCGAGGCTCTCTCCCTGGATTTCCTAGTTATGTGGGCTAATGAATTCATTTTGCTCAAGGCAATTTGAATTTGGTTTTCTGTCACTTGCAACCAAGAGTCTTGATTAATACTAACATCAAAACTAGTAAGTGGCCCTGGCCAAGTAGCTCATTTGGTTAGAGTGTCATCCAGATATGCCAAGGTTGAGGTTCTGACCCCTGGTCAGGGCACGTACAAGAATCAACCAATGATGCTTAAATAAGTGGAGCAGCAAAAATGGGTAGTTCTCTCTGTTTCTCTCTCTCCCCCCCTTCTTCTCTCTCTCTAAAATCAATAAAATAAAATAAAACTAGTAAGTTACTTGAGTGTGTTTTTGCTCCTCAAGAACTCAGCCAGAACAGAGGGAATAAGTTTGAAATGTTGAGACAAATGCAAATCCAGAGCGCAAAATGTAGAGATACGGATAAAGAAGACAGAAAGCAAGACAACCGGGCAGGCAGGAGTGGAGGGGCACTGCAACAGGAAGACAAAGCTCAGAGGGACATGCCCCCGTGCCCAGGCTTACCCACACGCTCTTGTTTTGGGTGACAGTCACCAGCCCGTCCTCGAAGAAGATGTGAACCTGGACCACAGCTCCAGCTTTGTCATGGCAGGAGTGGGCATCAGCGAGCACACGGTACCAGGGGATGGTCTGTATTCCTAGGCAGCGGGAAGAGAGCTCGTAGATGCCAGGGATGCTGACAGCGCTGTGGGCTCCATCGAAGGAGGTGAGATTGGCGTCCACAAAGAGGGAACAGAGACCAGAGGGGACCCAGCAGTCCCGGGCCCCAGCTTCGACCTTGCACATACGGCCTAGAGGGCAGCCAGTTGCCTGGCACGTCAGGCCGGTGCTGGGGGAGCAGGAACAGCGCTCACTGCAGTCTGAGCTCAGCAGGGAGGAGTTCACCTGTGCACAGAAAGGGGCCAGGTTACGGTGGCGTGGTGGACAGCAACAATGACCACAATCCTTCAACCTTCTGGACCCATGCCAATCACTTTGCAACAACTCCCATTAAGAAATGGAGCTTCTTGCCCAGCTGGCATGGTTAAGCGGTTGAGCATCACCCTATGATCCAGGAGATCGCTGTTCGATTCCCAGTCAGGGCACATGCCTGGGTTGCAGGCTCGATCTCCAGCAGGGAACGTGCAGGAGGCAGCCGATCAATGACTCTCATCGTTGATGTTTCTGTCTCATGTTTCTATCTCTCTCTCCCTCTCCATTCCTCTCTCTGAAATCAATAAAAACATATTTGAAAAAAAGAAAAGAAATGGAGTTTCTTTTCCCTTCCCCACGGATCCGGGTTGGCCTTAAGACTATGCTTTGGTTATCACAGGTTCAAGCCTAGACCTCAAAAGACATTACAGCTTCTTTCTCTTTCCTCCCTGCCACCACGAGAACAAGCATGGGCCTGCCAGAGGACCAGAGAGCCCGTGCAAGAGAGACAACAATCCCCACTGACGCAGCTCTAAGCCAGCCCCGAGCTGACCCCCCTGGGGGACTAGAGATGATGAGTGAGCCCAGAGAACAACAGAAGAACCACCAGGTGAACCTGACCCAAATTGCAGGGATGCAGAATTGTGAACTAAACGAACAGTTGTTTTAAGCCACTAAGTTCTGGGGTAGTTTGTAATCCACAAAAGCTAACAGACACAGGTAGGGGTGGGCAGGAGACATTTCAGAGTCCTGGCACCCACAGCCCAGAACATAGGGTCCTGGAAACCCAGTTCCAGGAAAGGACTTTCTCCTGGTTTTTTTCTGCTTAACCAGCTGCTCTTTCTTCACTGCATTTTCAAGTTCCTCCCAAATCCTTAACACTTCCTTGCCCAGGGCTCAGCCCTTAGACCTTTTTTCCCCTATCTACATTTACTACCTGACATTCTCATCAAATCTCATGAAAACAAAAAGAAGTGTCTGATCCTCAGTTGGACGTGACCCTGGGGGTGGGTAATTGGTACAGAGGACATTATAGGGACAACTGGTGAAATTAGAATAAAATCATCAGATTCTATGATAGTATTGACTCAGTGTTAATTCCCTGACTTTGAATTGTACTGTGGTTGTATTAAATGAATTTCCTTATTCTTAGGAAATCCGTGCTAAAGTATTTAAAGGTAAAGTATTTAAAGGGCACCGTGTCTGTAACATATTCTCAAATGGTTCAGAAAAAATAATACGCATATACACTTATATGGAGAGCATGATAAAGCATACATGGCAAAAGGTCGACAGTTGAGTTCTTTGTACTATTCTTGCAACTTTTCTTTAGTTTGAAGTCTTTAAAAATAAAAGTCTGAAAACTTTAAAAGAAACGAAAAAATGAACTACAACAAATAAATACCACCTCTATACTGATGATCCCACATTTGTATCTCTAGCCCAGACTCACAAATCCCAAAAAATCTTTTAGCACCGGCAATGTGGTATGGAAAAGGACAGGGGCCTGTGGGAGTCCAGAAGTGCCTAACCCAGCCTAGGGGTTGAAGGAGGGCTTCCTGTAGGTGGTGAGACCTGAAGAGGCAGAAGCTTGGCATCCCCTTCCTCAGAAGTCCTGCACATCCAGACCCTCTAGTCTACCTTTCTGCCATTAGTAAAACTGGGATGAATGAGGATGAATGTGGTAACCCACCTTTCTTTTATTTAATAAATATGCTTTTGAAGAAGTAGGATGCCTGGTAGCTCAGAGGGTGAGCCCAGGCTGCTTGCTGGGTGCACCCCAGTATCACCACTTGCTAATGGGTAGCCTTGGGCTGAATTCTCCTTGTAGCAATTTCTGCATCCATAAAATGGGGAAAATAACAATGGTACCTGTCTCATAGGATGTTGTGATTATTAGATGAATTAACATCTATAACGAACTTGGTACAGAGTAATGAGGAAGGTTAGTAAGAAACTAGGAAAATTCCCTGGCAAGTGGAATGAGGACGCTGAAACCAATGGTTGAACAAATGGCTGAAATGGTTGAGCAATTAACAGCTGGCTAATAAATCACGAGACCCTATCTTCTCTAACTGAAAATGCCTACGAGCAGATGGTTTAAATCATCACGGTCAGGGAGATAGATGACAAAAACCAGTTAGATCCAGACTAATTCGAGATGGAAGTAAAACTGACCAGAAAATGACCCCAGACACCATTATATGCCCATTTTAATATATCAGCATACTGAATGACACAATGGGAAATCTAATGAATACTCTGTTGAGATCCTCCCCTGGGACCTACCCTAAAATTCCCACCTACAGAAAAAAGATAAAATCCCTCAGGACAAAGAACACCAGCTGGCATTCTTTGAGCAGCCCGAGACCCTGTCCTCAGGTGTATACTTTTTCTTTCTTTACGCTAAGCTCTAAGGGCTCCAATGAGACTTGCAACCAGGGGAGCAGTGGGCAGTGGCAGCTCATCCTGGGTTTACCCCCTGGTCCTGTCTCCAAGGGCTCTTCTTTTGCTTCACTGTCCTAAGCTTTAATAAACTCACTTTCCCTTTCACCTGAACTTGCATCTTGAATTTTTTCCTGCACGAGTCAAGAACCTGGAAGTTGTCTGACATGCAAAAGGTCCCAGACCTTGCCGGGGCAGGGCCAGCTCCAGATGCGGAAATAGTCCGGTAACAAGAGGAAGAGCTCAAAACACATGAATAATAAACCAACTATAACAAAAATAAATTAACTTTCAACTCACATTATTAAACTGTTTTTAGCTATACGACCTGCTGTGCTGTTGTAAATTTTACTGAGCATGGAGGGCAAGGTCCAGTGCTCAGTGGTTGCCTTTCATGTGCAATTGTACCCAATCCCCAGACACCTATGGTGCAAGGATGATGATAAACCCCATTTTACAGATGAAAAATTGAGACTCAGGGAGGGGACTGTAGTAGGTGAATAGCAGTCCCCCAAAGATATCAAGTCCTAATGCCTGGAACCAGGAGATGTTACCTTATATGGGAAAAGGGTGTTTGCAGATGTGATTAAAATTAAGGATCTTGAGATGGAGAGATTACCCTGGATTACCTGGCTGGGTGTTAAATGCAATCATGTGTATCTTCCTAAGAGTGAGGCAGAGAGAATTTTTAGGTCACACACAGAAGAGGAGGGGGAATATGATACAGAAGCAGAAACTGCAGTGATGTGACCATAAACCAAGGAATGCCTGCAGCCACCAAAAGCTGGGAGAGGCAAGGAACGGCTTCTCCTCTAGAGCCTCTGGAGAGAGTGCTGCCCTGAGGTCACCTTGATTTTGACCCAGTGATCTGCTTTCTCATTTATGGCCTCTGGAACTGTGGGAGAATAAATTTCTCTTGTTTTAAGCCACCAAGTTTATGGTCATTTGTCACAGCAGCCACAGGAAACTAATACAGGGAGGTCACCAGCACTGAGTCACACAGCTAGGAAATATGGGTGGCTTCTCTGTCTCCATCCTTGAGCGGGGTCAACACAGAAGTTCTGAGTCTCCCTCAAGCCCCTCCACCCTCCCTGCCCACCTCAAGCCCACACTCACAGGCAAGTATCGGCCTTCATGGGTGCAGCCACAGTGCTGGACAGGGATGCAGATGCCTTGGGAGAGCAGGAAGCGGTCGTCACACTCACAGCCCTCAAAGCAGAGGGAGGTGCAGCCCGTGAGGCCGGAGAGGGCTGCACAGGAGCCCTGGCAGGAGTACGTGCAGATGGAGTAGTGGCTGTGGGCGGGGCACTGGAGTGCTGCAGAGAGAGAAGGCAGACTGGGGTCACACCTGCACAGCCAGCCCTGGGGACACAAGTGACGAAGACAGCCCCAGGCCCCGCTCTGGAGTTCACATCAGTGGGATAAATAGTGTTGGCCCAGTGTGATCAGGGCTGCACTGGGAAAGTAGACAGAGTGGTCAGGGCGAGGGTCAGGGTAAAAAACGGGGAGCTGAAGACCGAGGGAAGCACCCAGGGTGGGGCCTGGGCTCCAGCTGAGCAACTGGCGGGTGGTATGGCTGCCCTGATGAGGACCAGGGTTGGGGATAGTAGGGTGAAGTTTGGGGTGAAATGCTGATGTCATATGGGAACACAGCAGGTATGCAGGGCCCTAAGGACACCCAGGGGGAAGTGTCCAGGAGGCCATTGGACACGAGACTAGCAGTTAGGAGAGAGGTCAGGGTTAGAGACAGTGTCTATGCTCAGTGCTGAAGACAAAACTAAGGTGGCCGAGGTGGATAGTGGCCCTGAGGAGAATGAAGGAGCCCTGCCATGGGGGAATGAGGGGCCACTGACTTGTCCTAGAGAGTGGGAGGGGACAAGGCTCTGTCCTGGGGCTTTGAAGGAAACTGATACCTCCTGACTGGGGGGATCTGAGAGGTAGAGCCCTGGGGATCTGAGGGAGCTGCAGCTTTGTCCTGGGGGATGTGAGGGGATACTGCGGGTCTGGGTGAGTCACAGACTCAGGCTTTATTGTGTGTACTAAAGGCCTGCCAATCTACCCTCTCAGGTCACCACAGAAAGGGTCCAGGATGAGCCCTAAGGAGGAACTGTGTCTGAGGTTTCGGAGAGTGGGATTCTGAAGGGAGTCTGAGCAGGGCCCGTCAGTGCGTGGGCCAGAGGGAAGCCAGCAGGGTGTGCTGTGGGAGAAGCTAGGGCGGGGGTCCTTTGACAGCGAGGGACTGCTCCTAAGAAGCAGACAGGACTGGGAGCAGATCAGGGGGCATCCCCAAGCCAGGTCTGGAGCCCTCTGGGGGTGCCTAGGGCACTCACGGCAGAAGCTCTCTGTCCTCCAGGGCTTCACGGCCTTGCCGGCCGCCTGGCAGGCCGCTGTGTAGGCAGTCAGGCTACGGCAGAGGAAGGTGCTGTCGCCCTTATGGGCACACAGGTCAAACACGCACTGGCGGAAGTACTCAGAGGGGCTCAGAAACGCGTGGCAGGCTGCAAAGGGGCCATTGGGGTCCCGGAGCTGCCCACAGGCCTTGATGCTCTCATAGGGCTCTGTCTGCTCCGCTGAGCACACGGGCCAGCCCTGGGGCCCAAAACCCTCGCCACAGCCCTGGGAGGAGCTGGGTGCCCGCCACGCAGCTCCAAACGCATCCACGCTGGGGGCCACAGTGCCACTGGGCAGAACAAAGTCGTCACTCCAGTTGCCATTGAAGTTCCCACAGAGGCCACAGAGACGGCCATGGTAGGAGCTGGGGGTGGATATGAGGATGTAGGCATCACCATCAAAGAGAAGCCGTAGCCCGTTGGTTGTCTGCAGAATCATGTTCCGGCCCTCAGCGGTCACCTGTACATAGCCCACAGCCACAGGCAGGGCCACAGCCTCGCCGTCCACAGTGACCTGGGTGGAAGGGTCAGGTGGGTCAGGGACTCACAGAACCACAGATAAGGCAGTCCCCCTAGACTCCCAGGGTGGAGCTGTGTCCTGTCCTTCTCAGTCCCTCTGGGGTGAGGTCATGGCCCCTAGAGTGGAGCATGTCTCCCACAGACTTCCCAGGGCAAGGTCGTGTCCCCTCAGAGTCCCTAGGACAGAGCCATGTCCCTTTCAGACCCCCAGGGCAAGGCCATGTCCACTTACCTGCGGGCCCCGAGCCAGGCTCACAACCTGGTCAGCCACAGTAACCAGCAGGCGCAGGGGATCTCCAGCCGCATCCTTCTCAAGCACAATGACAAAGTCCTTTTCCTCAAGCTGTGAGTGGCAGACTTGGGCCAAGACGTAGGAGCAGGTGCCATGCAGATCATAGACACGTCCATCAAGGGTACTGTAGTGGATGCCCCCACTGACCACGCAGTGACCACAGCCTATAGGGTGACAGGCCTGGATACCGTCCTTTATCTGGCACTCTTCATGGGGCTGGCAGGCTTTGCCCTCCTGGCAGGTGACTTGACCATTGGGCCCACACTCGCAGTGCCGCTCGCACTCAGGGCCTGGGTAGAAGGACTCGCCCAGTGGGTAGTAGCGGCCCTCATGGAGGCAGCCACACTGGCCCAAGGGCACACAGGTGTCACCACTGAGCACAAAGCCGGCATCACAGACGCAGCCCTCGCGGCAGGCTGGCTTACAGCCCTCAGGAGCCAAGAGGCTGGGGCAGCTCACAGGACAGGAGTCACCACAGAGCTTGTAGTGGCTGTGCGCAGGACACTGGAGTGCTGTGGGGACAAGAGGGGAATGAGCCGGGGGGAGGTGCAGAGTGAAGGACCCTGCCCAGGTGGATCTGTGTGCTCTGCCTGAGCATATTTCATGAGTGAATCTCTCCGGGGATCTGAGCGGGTATCAGATCCAGCACATCTAACTCGGAAATTCAGTCTGGGGCTCTGCAGACCAGGTCTCTCTGACCAGGTTGTGTGTCAACCTGATCAATTTGACCATGTGTATCTATGCAGGTCTAAACCAGCTGTGGGTATTCAGGGTGTGAATCTGACTGGGGTGTGGGGCCAGATGTATCTTGGGGTATGAATCCATCTGTACCTATCTGCCTAGGGCTATGTCAGAGTCATGATTCTACCTGGTGTATCTGCCCAGTGTCTCTAACCAGAGTCCCTGTCTGATGTTATGGGACCAATTCCTATGTATTTCGGTGTCTGAAACAGTCCAGGGGCATCTGACCAGGTGTAACTTTCTAGGTCTCTCTGAACTGGGGTACCTGAGAGAATCCACTTGACCAGGAGTATCTTGCTGTGTGGCTCTGACAGGGTCAGCCAACCCACTTTATCTGGCTAAGATATCTGAGCGCATGCTCCCTGAGAGTCTACTGGACCCAGGTTTTCTGACCAGGTGTATCAGAGTCTCTCGCATGTGACCTGGTGTATTTAGTGCATGAATGCCAAGATGTTTCTTTGACAGGAGATAGCTGGCTCAGGGGAGTCAGGGTGGTGTCTAAGCCCCATGTTGGAGAAGGTTCCTGTCTTAGAGCTCTGTGAAGGGTGGAGGCGGGGAGACCCCTACTCTGCGGCCCACGCATGGATGAGTACTCACGACAGAAGTCCGGCCGCCTCCACTCGCCGAGCTGGGCCCCAGCGGCCTGGCAAGCTGCCACATAGGCGGCCACGGCAGGGCAGAGGCCTCCGGGATGGCCCTGAACCTGGCAGGCGTCCAGCAAGCAGGTCTGGAAGTACTGCTCGGGCGGCAAGAGGCGGTGACAGGGTGCCAGCGGTCCGTCCGGGGCCGAGATCACGCCGCAGGCGTTCGGGCCAGCGAAGTGCTTCTGCTCCTCTGGCGTGCAGTGCGCGGGGCACGGCGGGGTCTCGCACTGCCCGCAGCCCTCCTCACCGCCCACCTGCCAGCGGCCCGGATTCCCGTCCACCGCCTTCAGGTCGTCGTCGGGGTCCCGGTTGTAGTTCCCACACAGGCCACAAAGGGCGCCCGCGTACGAGGCCGGCACGCGCAGGCGCACGTTGCTGTTCCCGTCGAAAGCCAGGGAGAGCCCGTTGGCCGCGGTCACCACCACGTCGGGGCCGCTCAGGTGCGCACGCAGGCGCGAGTCCAGCTGCAAGGGCAGCGCCGCGAGCGTGCTGTCCACCTGCGGGCGTGGGGTGGGGGTGGAGGTGGTGAATGGCCAGGACACAGGTTCGAATCCTGTCTTCGCCACCTCCCGGGTGTGTGTGTGTGTGT